AAAAAAAAAAAAAAAAAAAAATATATATATATATATATATATATAAAACAAAATATATAGCTAATAACTGGAAGAGCATGACACCCAGGGTTGCCAGGTTTTCACAACAAAAACCCGCCCAATTGCTACTCAAATCTAGCTCAAAACAATCGCGTTCCGGGGGGTAAAATACACGATTTTTTTTTTTTTATATATAGATAGCATATGTACCTCTGCAAGATGTCTGTTAAAAATCGCTTCATCTGGAAAGCATCTGCTGTGTACAAACATCTAATAGACATCTTTCAGAAGTCAGTTTTACATACATTTTAAATCATAAACATCTTAAAGACATCTTCTAAACTTATATTTGACATCTGATAGGAAATCCGTATTGCAGATGAGCAAACACTGTAAAAAAATGTCTTACAGATGTAAATGCAATCGTCAAATAGACGTCTCTGCTATCAGGGTGGTACGGTAGAGTCGGGGAAAACGCCCCCCTTAAGGACTGTGTAATTGTTTTCCGTGAAACAAAATTAAATGTGTCCAGAATAGTTATCATAGTTTTAGTGACAATGACATAAATTATAAACCACGTATATCCAGAGTTTTCATGTTATTCGATTTTTAACAAAAATGAAATTTGTAGCAAGGGCGCGTTTTGCCCCACATGTGGGGTAAAATGCCCCCAGTCTGACAAAGCAATTTGTTTTATACATTTACAGCAAAATCAGAGTACAGGCAGTTTTAGCTTAAGATTAAAAAGAATATAATCAATAATTGTTCATTACAAAATTATAGCCTATTAAGCCTATAAGGCTATTTGAAAAATATTGTTAGTTGATGCTAACTGGCTAGCTAACTAGCTACCTGATGCTATAATTGAGGTCATTTTTAAATATAAACTCCAAATATTTTGATTCAACCAAATAGTTAGAATACATTTGATGAAAAAAAGGATTTGATGTTCAGGACAGTAGCCATGCCCCCTGGGGGCGTTTTACCCCACAGACTATGTTTGAAAAAAAATTATGTCATTCTGAAAATATAATGATATTTTTCTTAAATAACACATACTCCCTATCTACAGGGCTTACTATTTTCATACAGTTTCATATTGTCTATTTTTGCAATTAGAAGCTTATGTTATGCACCGAATTTCTTGATAAATAAATTAAATTAATGGTTAAAAAATGCATTTTAGAATCGATATTTTCATGTGAGGATCGATCCTTTCGATACAACATCGGTATTGAAAGTATCGATACTTAAGGATCGATCCGCCCATCCCTAGATGTGAATTTATTTCAAATATATGCTCCTCACGAGTGGATTTCATGAATATGCAGGCTAGTGGATTTAACTTCAAGCTCGACTTACTCATCCTCTATTCAAATATCGAACAAGACAGAGAGTCCGACTGTGACGGCTTGAATCTGCAGAGAGGATCTTTGATCACATCTGCTCCTCTGAGGACACGCCATGTTCTCACGCCTAGTCACTACACAGTGTCTTTAACATCAAAGGATGAGGTGGAAAAAAAAAACAAGTTTAATCAATTTCCTCTCGCTCTCTCTCCTGTCCTATGAAAAATAAGAACTTTGGCTTTGTTAGCTACATTTGAAGTCCAGACTCAAAAGGTCTCGGGCAGTCAAGTCTTCACGTCTAACAGAGTAATTACCTCTAACGGTTCAGAAAACATACAGCAAATCGCTCGGGGAAGCTTTCAAATCATTGTTCAGCTTCACCTTCGAATCTCAGCGGTGGAAAAGAGGCCCAGCTGAATGCTCATTAACCAGCGTTTGGTAACCTGTATCGGATAGGAGACAGCAGCGGTTATTTTTGAGTAATTACTCTGGAGTTCGCCTGTTAGATTGAGCTGAATACAAAAGGATTTCGCCAGAAATAGAGACAGAAGTTTTGTTTGCAGTATGCAATCTGTAAAAAAGCTAAATCTCATAAAGAGCTGTGACATTTCATGTGGGAAGAAGCACAAAGCGTGTGGGATTTGAAGTGCCACAAAATGTAATACTCCAATTACAAAACTCAAAATAACACTGAGCACATGCTAATGTCAAATGAAAAAAAACTACTTCAAAGTCGAGTGAGCTGCATAGAAAAGCATCGCAAGGCATCATATACATGCTCTCAAGATAAAATCTGATAAGATGCCTTTTATATTACCCAATATTGGCATGTGGAATTTATTTTATGTTTATTAAAGAAATAGATCACCATAAAATGAAAATTTGGTGAAAATGTAGTTACCCTCAGGCTATCCAAGTTTGTTTCTTCATGGGAACAGATTTGGAGAAATGTAGCATCACATCACTTGCTCAGCAATGGATCCTCTGCAGTGAATGGGTGCCGTCAGAATGAGAGTCCAAACAACTGATAAAAACATCACAATAATCCACAAGTAATCCACACCACTCCAGTCCAGCAGTTAATGTCTTGAGAAGTGAAAAGCTGCGTGCTTGTAATAAACAAATCCATCAAGACGTATTTACTTCAAACTGTTGCTTCTGACTAAAACAGGGATGGCCAACGTCGGCCCTGGAGAGCCACAGTCCTGCAGAGTTTTGCTCCAACCTTGATAAAACTCACCTGCCTGTATCGCTTTCTAGTAACCCTTAGACCTTGACTAGCTTATTCAGGTGTGTTTGATTAAGGTTGGAGCTGAACTCTGCAGGACTGTGGCTCTCCATGACCAACGTTGGCCACCCCTGGACTAAAATGCGAGTCCATAATCCATAATAACGCTTTCTCCAGTGAAAAAAAATCCATCTCCTGTTGTCTCTCACATCAAAATCCACCCACATATTTGTTTAGAGCTGTTCGGGACTGTTTTTTGCTTGTAAACAGTACTTAATCTGTGCAGATTTCTCTCCTGATTCAGGCGAGATGAGTTTTTCACTAAAGAAAGCATTATTATGGAGTATGGACCCATATTTTGAACAGAAGCAACGGTTTAAATATAAAAACATCTTAATGATGGATTTGTTTCTTACAAACATGCAGCTTTTCACAAGATGCTAACTGATGGACTGGTGTGGATTACTTGTGGATTATTGTGATGTTTTTATCAGCTGTTTGGACTCTCATTCTGACGGCACCCATTCACTGCAGAGCATCCATTGCTGAACAAGTGAGGTGATGCTACATTTCTTCAAATCTGATGAAGAAACAAACTCATCTACATCTTGGATGACCTGAGGGTGAGCACATTTTCAGTAAATTTTCATTTTTGAGTGACTTTTAAGAATACTTTAAAAGTCCTTTAAGAGTATTACACTGTTAGTTAAGTGACATGTTAATGTCAAACTCTGACTGGAATCAATTGGGAATCGAGTGTCTCATTTGATTCATTTGAGATTACTATTTGTGTGGTGTTGGAGTCTGCCTAGGAAGACTGCTTCAAATTAGTCACTTTTCAGGTTTCATTTAAGTTAGTATAATGCCTTAGAAGGCAGTTGCCTATGTAGGGAGTAGACAGCAATGGAACTGACAAGGGAAATCACAGAACTCAAACCACTTAAAGTAGTACTTCAGTATCAGACAGATAGAGAGCAAACAGATGTTATATTTTGAGTGGCTGGGCTGTAAAGCCTGTTCATGATCAATACTCTCACTCTCTCTCTCTCTGTGTGTGTATGTGTGTGTTTAATCATCATATGTCTCTCTCGCTCTCTCTCTCTGTGTGTTTAATCATCTCTCTCTCTCTCTCTCTCTCTCTCTCTCTCTCTGTGTGTGTTTAATCATGTCTCTC